TAATCCCTAACTTTGAAAGCATAAAGCATCTTCGAGTGATTGTGAGCCATTTTTAGTGTATTGTGTGTGTTTAGAGGAGAAGCCTGGAGATACAAGAAGGAGCTGCTAGATCAATAATCTTTGCTTCATTTTTGATATATTTCTTGTAAAATGTATCAACCTTGCCTTATGGTTGCTTAGATCTTCATCATAGTATTCTTTTGCTTGTTTTTCCCAAGTAAAGTGGTCTTTGGGAGTTGGTCATCCCATATAGACAACCCTTTCCTATCCAGGGTCTTAAGGAGCTTTCACGGCATCAAGTTGCCAACTTTATGGCCCTAAGAACTCCATGCATCTTCTAGGCCGTTGTTTTGGCCTTTTAAGCCTCTTTTGGTTACGCATGTGAGTAAAGTTTAAGACTTTACATGAACTTTTAGCCTTTAAGGTTCGTATATGTGTTCATAAGCTTTATCTTGAAGACATGATGGTTTTTGGATTAAGTCATAAGCCTTTTTTTATTTGGGTTTGAGCTTAATGCCTTTAGAGTGGTTCTTACTGGATAAAGTTGGAAACTTTACCCTTCCGAGCATAATATCAGTATAGATCTCGAATGTACGGCCTCAGTTTGAATACTAGTGGCTTAATGCACTAAGTGGGTTGGCAGACTGATGAACTTGACAAGTCCATAAGGGAACTCGACGAGTTGGTTTTGGATTGTCCCGATTCCATTGAAAAAACAAATGAGGAACTTGACGAGTTAAAAAGGAAACTCGACGAGTTGATTCAAAATGTCGTGATTCTGTGATTCATGGAAACTTGGTGAGTTGAAGGATAACCCGACGAGTTTAGTCAACTCAGAGTGTTGACTTTGACTTTGACCAAGTTTGACCTTAAGCGATTTTGAAATATTGATTGGTATCTAAGGGGTTGTTTCTGTTTAGGGGCTGAGTAGAGCTATTTCATGGGGCCTGGGATTTATCCAGATATCTTTCAGCTTTCAAGGTGAGTTTCCTTACTTGGTTTAGCGGGTCGAAGGCACCAAGGCCGGCCCATGTTTATGATGTGTTGATAGAATGCTAGTTGTCTTCGTAACTCTTGCATGTACTTACGTTTTATGCGAGTGGACTAAGGTCCGATACCAGATGGTGCCTGCTGACTGTCACTATGCTATGTATATTATCTGTGTGTGTGTGTGTGTGTTTATATGCTTTCCAAGCTCAACTTGACGATCGGGCGGGGCCGAATGACCGGGTGGGGCCCAATGACTATCTGTATGCAAGTTGACTAAGGTCCGATACGGATTGGGTTTGTCCATCCATCATTATGGTGCTAGGGTAAGACTGCAAATATAGTATGCTTGTATCATTTTAGGGTCAATGTTTTGATTGTCCTGCGTATCTTTAAAAAGAAGTTCTACTCGAACTCTTCTAAGATATTGATAATAAAGCATTCGACACTCTTTCAGTCAGATTTTATCTTTGTTCTTATTGTTTGATTCATATAAACTTTTTTGAATCTTTCAATATTTATTTTATTGTTTCTACAGGATTCAACCTGTCCATCTGTCATTATAGAGCTAGAGTTTGACTATAAATACAGTATGCATATATCGTTTTAGGGTTAATGTTTTTTCTCTACGTATCTTTATAGAAAATTTCTACTCAAACTCTTCTAAGACAATGATAATAAAGTATTTGGCACCCTTCCAATCATATTCAATCTTTGTTCTTATTGTTTGATTCATATAAAGTGTATTGAATCTATCGATCTTTATTTTATTGTTTCTACAATTAGTATCAGAGTAGGAGATTGTGTAATACATACACATATCTTCTGTCGAGCTTACTAGGGTTTTGAGTTTTCATCAGATATGTTCTATCTGTATCCATCATCATCCTTGATTGTAGATGTTATATCTGGGTCTTTATTTTACCTTAATCTCAATTAGTATTTACACATCTTATTCATTACAATTTCGATAGTCTTGTTAAATATGAATCCAGAAGATCCATATATTCTCTCTTTTAATCTTTCTAGCAGCATTGGGTCGTCTACCAGAATCCCAATCCTTTTCCCACTAGATTCTGAAGTTTGTGCTCTACACTTTTAAGACTACGTTCTTGGTTTTGAAGAACATGGAAGCCTAATATGGGAGGCAATGACAAAGGAGACCTTCATGCATTCTGGTACAAGACAAACCATTAAAACTCAAGCTGAATACAACGAACTTCTTCTTAATGTTAAGGACATTGCACAAGATAAAAAAAAGATAAATTGCTAAGTAACATACAGGCAATGAGAATAATTAGGTTTGATTTGCCTCAAACACATTTCATCTGGTTAGTGCTTGTGAAACAGCCTAGGAAATATGGGATAGGTTGAAGGAACTCTACTCAAGCGATGCAGATCTAGAACACTTTGTACAAACCTTGCTTTTGTTAGAGTTTGGTGCTTTTGTTCAAAGGCTTGAAGAGAAACATGATCAGACGTTTAATCGTTTTAATCATCTCTTGAGCGGAATGTTGAAACACAAGATAAAGCGTGAAACAATTGAGCAAAAAGTTACTTTCATGAACGGGTTGAGGTCCGAATGGAAAGCGGTGGTATCAACTGTAAAGGCTCCTAAATAGTTTATGAGTTATACGTTGGCGAAGCTGGTGGGGATTCTGATATCCCATGAAGATGAAATGACAAAAGATGTGAAACTTGTCTCTAGTATGGTTTCGTTAGCCCTGGCTGCGAAGGGAAAAAAGGTTTCAGAAGAAGAGTTAGATCCGTCCTCTCATATTACGAACCCACCATGGAATAATATGCAATGATGGTTTCTAATCCCATAAAGTTCATTAGAAAGAACTTCAGTCGATTCAAGGGTAGAAATAGGTCAGGGAACTTCAATTCTGAGATGTCTAGGAATGAGAGCTTTATAGGCTCGCAAAAGGATGAGGAAAACCAAGAGAAAAAGTTGTTTGGTGATTTAGGTTACGATTGTTACTACTACCATGGCAAGAACCATTTTGCTAAAGAATGCATGCTGAGAAAGATGAATAAGAAAAAGGAAGAAGAAAAGAATGAAGCTTACTATATCCATAAGATAGAAGAGCCGAGGAAGAGAAAGAATACAGAGAATGCCAAACCTGCTTTGATCGTGCAGGAGGATGATGTGCATGAGTATGTGGTGAAATGTCTGATGGTGCAAAGCGAAGTTTTGGAGCAGAAAGGGATATGTAGCTAATGTAGGTCATCCTACTGAAAGTTGTTTCACAACAAGGCCTGTATCAGAACAGGCAAATGAGTGTTAAAATTTCATCAAGAAGGTACACTCCATCCTTTTGTCCTTTCTTGAATTGAAAGAGGATGAAATCGATGCAGAGTGCTACAAGTGCGAGTCCATAGTCTTTTCCAAAGAGGTTTCAGAAACATATCGAGTTGGACTTGACAAAATTGAGGCCTACATACAATCCAAAGACCATAAGAACATGTTAAAACAAGTTTTAGATGAAAAAGATAAAGAGAAAATTAAATATGATACTGTGAAAATTTTGAGTCAATTTGTACGAAATTGAGTTCAGAAAACACTTTTGATGCTAACAATGTTTTTGAATTTAATGAGTCTGACATGAGTGTAATTTCTGTAGAGGATGAGACTGATTGTTCATATTTTCTTCAAAATGAATCTGAACCTAAGAATAAGGTAATTTCGGAAAATTATATTGAATATGTTTGTACTGTAGAAAACAAAGGTTCGGGTGTTTTAAAAGAAAAGGCTATGTCATAAAGGAAGGTCATGTTATAAAGAAAGACGATGCGCAATTATGAAACGCGATGCACATTTATGACACACATTTACGATGCGCAGTTATGACACGCGATGCGTATCAAGGAAGGCCATGTCATAAAGAAAGAGGACACACATTTTTGCGTGTCATAATTTTAAATGTTTTAAAAGATATATATTTTGATAGATTTAGTAATTTTCAGATTAAATAACACAATAGAGGTCTCATAATACAAAATAAAATACAATAAATAAGAAATATAATTCATTGCACTAATATGTTAAATACAAATAATCATTCTAATAGTAAGTGAATATAATAGATTATCTGTAGAAAAAAACATGTACAACTGGATGGATCCCTTTAAATGGTTGATTTGCCATCAATTCCTCCTAATTATCCGCCCCACTACCTCTACAAAACCTCCTCCAAGAATAACAACGTTCTTTATCTGTCTTGGCTTCAGACCGAAATATGTCACCCTTGCTACCTATTAATACAAATAAATTGGGGTATATTTGGTAATGATGGAATGGAATCACAAAATTATGGAATAAATAAGATAACATAATGGTCATTACATTGCATTGTATAAAATCATCAAGCACCCAAATGAGTAATTTCAAGTTTATAGATGAGAATGGTAGTTATATTTCATTATTTTGATTATCTTGACTTACTTGTATGAATAAGAAACTTATGCTAGAGAAGTCAATGAGCATTCTTTCACCTTTTGACTTAATTTGTTTTTGTAATGCAAGGGTAAAATGATCATTTATTTTCATTTAGACAGTTTATTTAGTCTAGAAAAACATACCTTACGTATACAAGACTTTACATCATTGTTAGTTCAACCACTTTGCCCTTACACAACTTAATGGGGTTTAAAAAATCCCCTAACACATTAAGCTTAGAACACATGGAAATATAAGAGGCCAAACAGATGTATAGGAGTTACCTTAATTCAGAACGGAGGTGTTGAATGTCATCGAATGTGGTGACATATTCACGAATGGCATTCATGTCCACATATAAAAAATATAGTGAACATGTTATATGGAAAACAAGGAAAGCTGTTAATTTCTTTGCTTTTGTATTTAAAGGATTAATGATTAAATGTTTTTATAGATACTCGAGATCTGAGTCTTGCTGCAAGCAGTATATAGTTTTGACTTTAATACTCTAAAGCTTGTCAACATCTGCAGGAGTCTAAATGTATAAAGTACAGGTTGGAATTCTGAATGTCTAAAGTACATCTGCAGGTGTTTGAATGTGTAAATTACTTGTAAACATGACCTGAAAGTGATTAGAGCCTTGAGTTTTTTTAAGCTTCATTGATTTCTCAGGTACTTGGCTAAGAAGCTTCCTGCAGAGTTTCTTTATTTTCACTTTTGATTCTGACAATTCATCAATTTTTTTAAAAGAATGATCATCTTCCAACTCAGATTCCTCCCTCTCACTATCACTAAAAGACGTTTTTGTCGCTTGAAAATGAACCCCTGCTATTTTCCTTAGGTGATCCTTGATACCAAGTCCCTGTTTTCCAAAAGTTGCTTTATCCAGCCAAAACAAAATATGTCAATTTTGCAGATGTGATTCTTTATTCAAAAGTTGAGGTCTTTTTAGTTTTTATTATAAAAAAAGGTACATACTTGTACAAGTTTGAAAAGATTCTGATGATCCACTTCATAAAATATAGTCCTTTTGTTAATATTTTGAGATATTTCTCATGTGTTGCTAGGCTTCTTTCTCTTGGATTGTGCTCCAAGTAATCCTCCAGACACAAATCTAAATTTGTTACCCCACCAGTCTGGAGAAATTTCTTTTTCATATTCAACTGCTAATAAATATTGAAATATGAAATATGTTTTATTTTAATACTCCACATTATCATAAAAATAAAGCATAACATGTAGTACATAATTACCTTGTGCTTCAAATTATCAGATGCTTCTACCAGCTCTAAGACTCCATCCTCATAAGAAAAAGACTCAGGCTCTGGACTCACATTAGTCTTTTTGACCTAAAAAATATCCAAATTTTCTAAATGTCAACAAATTCAATCATAAAGAAGAATATGGTAACAGTTGTAGATCAAAAATAGGAAAACATACCAGGATTCCTTCAAGATCCTAAGCAGAGTATACGTTCACAAGCTTTCCTCTCTCCCTTATCTTGTATCTAATATCATATTAATATATATACCTATGTATTAATAATTTGGATAGAATGAATAATTTAGAATTAAACTCGATTCTGAGAAAGAAAATGATGTTCCTTGAGGACGTGTAGCCTTAACAGTTTTTTCACTATTGTCCTTTACCAAGTTTGTTTCTTCATCATCATCATCTGAGATAAGAAAACAAGGATCGTGAGTTAACAAATACTAAAGCTTCATAAGCATACCTCCATCATGTTTTGTTTGTGTTGCCTGTTGTCAAAATATACATGAATTTTGATTAATAAGATAATTCATGTGAATAAACTTATTAAAAAAAGAGAGAGAACAGGCTCAGGTGAAGAAAATTGAAGAACTTACCACTTTCAACTTTTTGAGAATATTATCAAAATGTGTAGTATCAAATGCCCATTAGTTTGGCTTATCTAAACCAACACCTGTTTTGCATTTAAGTTAGAGGCAGAAAAAAAACTTCATTTATACTTTCATACTGTGAGAGTGTGAGGCAAAATCACAAAGCAAAGACTGAAAAATGCTAGCCATCATCTCTTACATTGTGCTTATTAAAAGAAATCACTTCATCTGTGTTGTTGTTACATGAACACCCATATTAGCCAGTCATAAACGAGAAGTAAATGAGGTTGTTGATGTGTCATCGTGTTATTGGCCATCCGATTCAGTAGGAGTTAAGTGAATGAAGTTATGATTATATTTGTCATCTTTTGTCTTCTCTCCTCTTATCTTAGGTCAGGTGTCCATGGAAATTGTTTCAAGAAGATGAAGCAATTTATGAGTTGACTTGGGTTTATGAGAATGTCTAGTTAATTTATTTGTTATTGTTGCTCTCTTTTGGTATTGCTAAACCCATATTTCCAAGTACTTTTCTCACTGCATTTTCCAATTCTATCACCATGTCATCTTCATGACCTAATTATATACAAATAATAATTTAGATATGCTTCAAGGAGATAAGCAAGAATATATTGGGGCAATAAACAAAAGTTGATACATGGGCAATTAAGCAATTTAACAAATAAATAAAAAGAATAAAAGACAAGGGGAAGATTAACATACCAATATCAAACATATCTTTCTCCATCAAGAAAATGTAGTCTCTGTTGTTTCCGCATAGACCTATAGCAGTTGTTATTTGTCTGAAAATTTACACTAATAAGAAAAAGACTAAAAGAGCCTCGATATAATGATATAAAGTATGATAAGTAAATTACCTGGCCATAATAGTCAAGAAACATAATTAGGAGTAGTCAATGTTGAATACTTCTTCTTGTTACCATATTCGGTACTAATGACCCTCAAGATGCCCTTGATGCCAAAAAGCTCTTGGATACTCTCTCTTTTCTTCATGAGAATATCATGCAAATGGCCAAAGCTAATTATTTTGAACCTTTACTTCATCTTCTTTCTTCAGATAAACAATAATGTCTTATGCCTATAATTAATGTTCAATAAAAAGTGATAATGAGACAAGAATCAACACAAGATCTGAAACTGTTCAACAGGAAATGGTGTGGACATTATCAGAAGTTGAGATGACAGATCATGGAAAACTTACAGTTTATGAAAGTGGAGAAGTAAAGGCTGGCATTATCGTTAACTTCCGGTGAATTAGATCATCAGGAGATACCATTTAAGGAATCAAAAGAATATGTGTTCAAACTATTCTCTCTCATCTCGTTAAACGGACAAAATGTTCAACAAAGTGTTCTTCGAACGTTCCTTGTAGTTTCTTAATCTCCTTCAGGTACAAACATTAGGGAAACTTTACGGAAGGTAAGTTTTTCGATTTTCTATTTATCTCCTTTGATTATATCGTTAATTGGTGTTTATTTGGGGGTTTAATTTCATCAGATTTCTTCAGTTAAGTACTGGTTCAGTTATGCGAGCATGAAAACCTAGCCGTCCGATCAAACACCGTGAAGCTATTCTGTGGTTTGATAAAAGATGAGACTGAGAATGACAAGACATTTCAAGAACACGTTGGGCCTAAATGTGTGGAGACTTTGTTGAGGATCATAACAACTTCCAATAAATTTGAAGAAGGCGTCGCTTCAATGGAAATTATCATTAACCTTGAAGCAGAGACAATATCGTAATTAGGGTTTGTAGAGAGAAGGGAAGAAGAGAATGAAGGGAAAAAGAGAATGAAGGGATCAATATCTTAAAGCGTAGTATTTCAAAAATTAGAATTTTAGAGGATTTCATTTCCCCCTTTAAGATCGCACGTTTTGAGTAAAATATAGAAAGTGACATTCACAGAGGACGCACATTTGAAATAAGTTTCCTCCGTGTTTGTAATTTTTTGTGGGACAATAATTTTAGGGCACGCACAAATGCGTGTCCTCTATCCTTAGAAATTTGGAAGAGTTGACATTATTTTTAGGACATACAAAAAATGCGTATCGTAAATGAGTGTGTGTCATTGTTTGCGCGTTATTAAAGGGTATTTTTTTTGTAGTGTGATTGTTTTGATGTTCTTGTTGGATTCTTTGCTTGCTATATATATATATATATATATATATATATATATATATATATATATATATATATATATATATATATAGCGGTGGGTTGAGGCAGTCCTTCTTTGTTCAGTAGGCTAAATACCCATACAGTCCAACAGTGTGTTATAGGACATGTGCATACCAGATGTATGTTGTAGACATGAGAGGTGGGCCAGTCATGGACTGAAGGCCGATATCGTCAATTTAGGAAAGCATTCAGGTGTACTGTAGGCCTTACAAGACAATCCATTCAGACTGAAGGCTCATGTGTGCATGCATTGTATGTATATTCTGGTGTGTGGTATTTTTTGGGAATCACTAAGCTTTGGCTAACAGTTATGGATTTAGTGTTTAGGTACTTCTGATGATCGTGAGAATGGAAATGCGTGATTATACATATTCATTAGCAACATTGGAGTTCCACATTTCAGTTATATTGTTCCGGTTTTCATATAATTGTATTTCAAACAAATGAGTTTTTGTTTTTTAAATTTAGGTTTTATGAAAATTGTGTTTTACCTTAACTTCAAATAAAAATTTTATTTGTGAAAATGGAACATTAGAGTTTTACTATCATATACTATAATTATTAAGAATATAAACGCCTTCAAAATTAGTTTAAATATTTTTGGCAGCTAATAAATGTGTGTCATGAGGCTTCCTAACTACTCTTAACATTTGATTTAGCTAAAAAATTCCTTAGTACATGAATGAGGAAAGATAACTAAAGAGAGACTTGATGAAGATGTGGTAACTTTAGAAATAACATAAAGACTTTATCATCATTATATTTTCTATGATGTGATTATTAGGGGTGTCAAACACATACAAAGAATAAAAAACAACCAATATTTTATCAATCAAACCAAGAAAGTTGGTAATCAATATGTTTGGTTGTCATATATATCAACAGTAATATCAAGACACGATAATGATATAAAATTTTAAATAATGTGGTAATATCTTACCTACTAATTTATTTGTATAAGATATATATATATATATATATATATATATATATATATATATATATATATATATATATATATATATATAGGGTAAAGTGAATATACCTAACAACCTTATATAAGCTTAGGTACCTAACCTCATCAAACTACGTCATTTTGCATTAAATTTTCATTGCAATCATCTAAGGTTCTTAAAGTTCATCCCTAAACTTGATTTACTTCAAAAAAATTTGAAAATTCATCATTATATTTCTCTTACATCTTTTCATTTGCAGCGGTAGGATATGAAGCCCATCAGGTGGTATTCGATAGAAAGACGTGATGTAAAAGAAATATATTGTTGAAAATCTAAAGATTTTGGAAGTAATCAAGTTATAAGGTTGAAATTTAAGAACCTTAGGCAATTACAATGTAAATATGATACAAACCGATGTAGTAATTTGGAGTTAGGTACCTAAGCTTATATAAGGTTGTTAGGTATATTCACTTTACCCATATATATATATATATATATATATATATATATATATATATATATATATATATATATATATATATATATATATATATATATATATATATATATATATATATGAATGGTATATTTTAGTTGTGCAATGTGTCTAATGTTTATAATTTTAAAAGCATGAGTGTAAGTCATTTAATCGTATTTATCAATTATTATTACCATATTAAATTAAAAAACTACAAAGTTACAACACAAGAATGTTTTAGTAATTAAAAGAATTACCTAATGGTTTCTTTATTAAACGACAAAATTATTCGATATGAATGGTATATTTCAATTGTGAAGTGTGTTTAATGCTTATAATTTTAAGAGCATTAGTGTAAGTCATTTAATCGTATTTGTCAACTATTATTTACTATGTTAAATTAAAAAATTACAAAGTTACAACACGAGAATGTTTTAGTAATTAAAAGAATTACCTAATGGTTTCTTTACTAAACGTTTTAAATCTTACAATAAAAAAATAAAGAGAAATAAATATATCTAATTATAGATTTATACAAAACATACTTTGTTGGTAGTAAAATAACTTGATTGACAAATATATTTGATACTGATACCAAAAGCTTATACCAACTACATGGTTTATAGAAACAAATAGATATTATATTATGTTTATCCACAATAACTATGTTTTATCAACAGGGCCGGTCCAAATCGATTTGAGGCCCGGGGCAAAATTGAAAATGAGTCCCCCTTTTGACCTTCAAAATGGATAGCATACATAAGGGCAGTCTAAAACAACTAAAAAATAATCTTATTTTTTCTTTCATCATCAAAGCACATAGTATAAGCTTACACACCTGTTTAAAAAGAATTATATTTATTCAATAAAGACTTTATTGTTGTCCATCATTTACATCAAAAAATTTCATCTATGAAAAATAAAATCATATTATTTTGGTTTTTAGAACTAATGTATATGAAAATTGGCAAAGTAAGGAAAGTGGGTATAATCATCAATTCTTAAATCGTAAGTTCAGTAGTTCAAAACTCATCCTTCTTCCCATCTTTTTATTTATTTTTTCTCTTTCAATTTACCTACAATGAAATGAGAAAAAATAAAAGATAGAACACATAAATCAGAAAAAAAAAAGAAAAAAAAAAAAATACAAACAACAAATATAAAAAGGGCTGATGCACTTAAGAGAAACAAAATATTACATAACAATATTATATAAACAACAGTCGGAAGCTAGAAATAAACAAAGCAGCTTACAACAAAGGAAAAAGAAAACAAAAAGCTACAAACCATAGTTAAAAACAACAAACAATAAGCCAAAAGAGAACAAAAAAAAACAGTTACATGACTTTCTCTGTGAGCACCGTGAAAACAGCAAGCAATCAAAAAACAATGAGTAAGGCCGACAATAGGGAAAAAAACCACTGCAGGAGCAAAATTGGAGCAAAGGGTAAAACTGTCCATAATGGCAAAAAAACTAATAGCTCATCCCAAAATAAAGATAGATCATCCCAAAACTGCAGGGTATAGATAGATCATCCCAAAATAAAGATCAAAATCATATAAACCCTTCCACATCAGGAACAAAACATTGGAGAGACACACAAACAATATCTGGAGCCAAATGGTGGTAGGGGCAAAACCGTCCACGTGTGCAAAAAATCCATCAATAGGAAAAAGAGCAACCAAATTTTAAGAACATGAAAATATAATCACCGAACGACCCTCTAAACAAATAGAGAAACAATATGACAGGTTTTCGGTCTCTTTCTCACACATTTAAGTTTTTTCCTTCTTGAAAATTGTTGTGTGAAGCTGTGTATTTCGAGGAGACATTGATTACTTATTGAAAACTGAAGCGTCCTCTCTTGGAATACGTTGTTGGGCCTTTAGCCTTTAATATATTAATAAAAAAAAATTACCAAAACAAGGATCGAACACAAGACTTCATAAACCTAAACTTATGCATGTCAGCCACCTTAACCAATACTGTTTTTGGTTATTTGTTGCATATTATATCTTATATAATCTATATGTATATATAAACAAATTGGAATTTTTGGGGGCCTCAAGACTTGGCGAGGCCCGGGGCGGTCGCCCAGCTTGCCCATGCTCTAGAGCCGGCCTTGTTTATCAATCATATAAGTTTAAACAATTTTAATTCTATTTTAATAGATCGAGAAATTTGAAACTTTTGCATTATTAAAAAATGTTTCGCTCTATAAATAGATTTTTATATTATTTTTTCAAGTCGAC